TGGTTAAAAGAGACTTTCACCCAAAGAAAATTTTTGTGTTGATTGTAATTGAGACACTCTGAATTATTTAATATATACTTCCACACCATCAACGATAGTAGCTTATTTGATTTGCTTTATAATTTACTCAATCTACATGCCATTCTTTCATTTTTAATTTATCTCAATAATAAGAGTATTTTGTCTCAACTTCTTTATTTTTGTACGTCTTTTTAAAAATTTCGTAAAATATATTTTTTAGTCAAGAATCGATCAAAACAAAACTCTCTAAGATTTGTATACATCGCAATCGCCCGAAATCTCATTTTTATATGATACGAAGTAGGTTAGTGTATTTTTCTTTTTCTTTTTCTTATTTACGTCAGTATTTTAACTACGAGTTTTAAGAGTACTTTAATATGTATCAAAGTCTTTTTAGCTTTTTAAAATTAGTATCTAATCAAATACGGCTATATAAATTAAATAAAACATAAAAAGTAAGAGCATAAACTTTTATATATTATGTTTAAAAAATAAACCATATAGACGTAAAGCTTTTTCTTTTTCTCTGTCTCACAACCAAGCGACAATCGACCATTGAAGGTAGCTAGTGTAAAATAGCTAGGATCGTCCACCCTTAAACAGATTTTTTTAATCGGATTTGATCTTAAAAATGTAACAACTCACGAAATCCAAATAAATTGCGCCGTTGGATTCTGAATATCAAAGCTCTTTTTTAAGAAGTAAAAAAATAATTCATATGTCCCTAATTACATGTCTATTTTTATTTTTTTTAGTTGTCCTTAAGTACTTGTCCATTTGATAGATTAAGAAAGGATTAAAAAAATTATATTATATATCCTCAATTTATTATTTTGAAAATGTCAAACTTCTTGAAATATTAAGTTTTTAATTAATTCATTTCATTATTAAGGGGTAAAATCGTAAACACAATATATCAATTATTGTTTTCTTAGTAGCTATGTCAATTCAAAAATGGACAAATAATTAGAGATAGAGAAATATTTTTTTTTCAAAAATATATATTTGAGAAAAAATAAACTTTGAAACACCTTTAAAAAGATGATTGAACACTAACTATATTCTTTTTCATGAAATGTTTTTTTTATATTTATCGGTCAAGCATGAATTATTTCTCACTAAAAATACTTTTACGTTTTTCAAAACAAGTTCAAACTTGGTAGTAATATTCAGCTTACTTTATAGTGGTGGTACTGATCCGCAGAGACCTCTCCACTTGCATTATTTGGCTCACGTCCTGTTTTAACACCAACAAAAGAGCTCATACATGGATCGAAATTGTCCAAAAATCATGATAATATTTATTTCCTCCGTTTCAAAAAGAATATTGCAGCGAAAGTGATTTTAAATTAAAGTTATGTCAAACGTATAAAAATGTTATTTAATCTTATAGACTTAAGCATATCATGTGAAAATAAAAATGAAATTACACCGTTACCAAAAAATGAAAGGATGATTTTTTTTAAAACAGATTAAAAAGAAAAGTAGATCATTATATGTACCGGGCTGTTTGATGAAAGTGTCCCAAACACTAGGTCCACGACCATCCTTGCTAGCGGCACCTTCTACTTGATATGCAGAAGTTGATGTACCAAACACAAAACCCTTTGGAAAGCTCTCTCTGTTCAATCCTCCCGTGTCGAAAACCGTTGTCTCTGCCAACACATTATCACTCTCAATATCCATCAATATTAAGGCAAGAAGCAAAAACAACGATTTCATCATTTTCTCAATTGATGGAAAGCAGTAGCTAGTGAGTGGAATGGAGTGGAGTGTAGGATACATATACATATATTGGGAGGCAATGCTATTTATGGAATATATTAGGTAATGTTTATGTGAGTGGAATGACCAAGGGGGGACATATTGCTCGTTACAAACGTGTGCAAACTTAACTGTTTCTTTTTATAAAACTTTATCTTCATTACTCACTCCACTTTCTAGTCTATTATCTAGTTATTTAGATAGAAAATAAGTTATTTACGTATAAAATCATTATCACATTTGATTGACAATTTAATTAGAAACTTCCATAATTAATTAATACATATATAAGTTATAAGGAAAATAATGTATTAAATCATTGAAATTGATGGGATCGGTAATGCAAAGAGGTTTGTTGCATGCATTAGCATTAAAAAATAATTTGCCCCTCAAAAAAATTATCACATTTTTCACCATATTTATGAAGAATATGTTTGTAAATGAACTTTTTTATCTGAAAAATTATGTAATGCATGTTATTTTTAATATATCGAATGAAACACTATATAAGAAATAATCTGCATACCTAATGCAAGAATAATGAATACAAGCATTATTAATGTTAGCAATACAAATACTAATACAATATATTCAACATTATTCTTATATATTACATCAAACGACCCCGAGTATATAGAATATATCAAAAGATGAAAACGGTATAATAAAGTGATAAAAGATGAGACTTTTCGTATTCTCAAGTGTTCAATTGAGGGTGCAATGTGAACTCTTACCTCTATTTATAGATTAATCACATATAGAAGATACAAATGATTGTCTTAAACATACATTAACTATGGACATTATAGTAGAAGTTGATTTTTTTTTTTTTGGGGGGGGGGGGGTGATTGAGTAGTACTCGTTGAGGATTTATGTCTACAGTGATGGTCAAGCTAACTGTTTCATATCATTCTCTCTGGATAGATAATGTATTTCATTAAAAGCTTACTAATTATATTCAAGGAAAAAAAATACAAATCGTTAATACGCATTGTTTATTGTCTTGTTAAAAATCGTGTCAAGAAAACTCAAGGGGATACAAATCTAGTTAAGAGAAAAAAAAGAGTGCACGTATTTTACTCATTCCAATACAAACTTTCTTGTACATGACACATTCCTATTTTGTATACATTTTTTTGGCTCGTACCTAGAAAAAAGTTGACAAATAAATTATTCTTCATTCAATTGAGTTAAGTAAGTGACATTGTCTTCATATAATATTATAACTTCCCTCTCAAAGAAAATGATACATTATTTGGACTAACTTGAATAAGTATATCAATAATTTGACTGTCCTATAGAATATGATAATATTGCAAAGAAATAAATTTCGTGCAATCAAACGCTATGTAGATCAAATAATCTCCTTCATTTGCATAACCAACAAGCTCTCGACAATATTAATTACAAATAATAAATTTCAAACTAACAGTTGATTTACTTAAATATCTTAATATAAAAGTGAAATTACATCTAGTTTACACATTAAAAAATATTACCATCTCCTGAATAGTAATAACATGATATGTACCAATTGCACTAGAACATGATAATTTATTAGATTAAAATTAACCTTTTTTAATGTTAAGTAATCTTTTCTCAAGATATCATCCAAATTGTTAGGATCGTTGCTCTGGATATTGTTTTCTCGGAGTGAAACCAGCTGGTTTCATAGTTTTAGAATTGTGCTGATCTCAAGTACTCCATCTTCATCATTGCATATAGGAATATAGAAATTAAAGAAGAAACGACATGATCAAAAGAATTGTGTGAAATAAGTGAATTTATCTAGTCGAGGCATTATTGATTGATTGAGACAAAATGATTTCCTCGATACAGTTTTCATATCCCTCCGGACATAAAATCATATATCGAATAGAGGGTACTCCGCCCCATAGAGGATACAACACACAAACCATTGACATGTTCAATAGAATTGTTTTAAATGCCTTTTGAATTTTCCAAAAAAAAAATCGTATAAACTTCATTTTTATCTAGGTAAGAAAACAATTTCAGTTTGCACATATCAACTTTTTCATGAATATTCCCAAAGTAATACTAGCCATAGGTATGCAATTGCAATAGTTGATGTGCCAACACACAGAACCTTGTCGCTCTAAGTTGATGAAAAGCATTAGCTAGTGAGTGGAGTGGAGTACAGGAGATATATAGTAGGAAGCAATTCTATTTTTGGAATAAATTAATTAATAGGTAATGTGAGTGGCAGGATGAGTGTGATTACTCACTCCACTCTCTAGTCTCTGGTGATTTCCAAACTCTAATCACTTTTAGTATCATATAATAAATAATTAAGAGAGAAAACTAGTTGTATGTTTGTCTAGTTTTATAGAGAATATTGTAGATTGTGTATTTAATATACTACTCCTTGAAGAAGATTTTGTCTTAAAATGAACATATAAGAGTAGTATAATATATCAAAAGATGAAAATAATAGAAAAGAGAGACATAATATAAAAGTTTTTTGCTTTTTTTTTAAAGTATTTACGCGTAAAAAATGTGATGGAGTATTACAAGTTGTCACAAACATTACTAGTTAATATCATAATAACTGAGGGGTCGGGATGATTGTGAAGAAGATCAATTGAACAAATGATCTAACAGTGAAGAGAAGGAGAGAAAAAACTGAATTGATTTCTTCTATCAAGATCACACCATACACATTATAAACTGAAAACTTAACTAACTACAATGAACCTTCCTATATATATATACATAAAAGAATCACCTAACTACTTGTTTAACTAATTCCTATTGACTTAAACTGTTAACTCAACTAATCACTAATCGACACCTGTACATTTTATTAACTGCTCAACATCCTCCCTTAAGCTAGATGTATGAAAAACATTCTTCATTCCTAGCTTGGTAAGTAGATATCTGTGTTGTCAACATGTAAGACCTTTTGTAAGCAAGTCTGCAGGTTGCTCTGATGTATTCAAATACAATGGTTGAACAAATCCTGATTGAGTCTTCTCCCTAATAAAATGACAATCAATGTCTATGTGTTTAGTTCGTTCATGGAAAACTGGATTGGTTGCTATCTGTATAGCTGATTTACTGTCAGTATGTATAAGCACAGGCATCTCAACTTGCATACCTAGTTCCTTGAAGATCCCAACTAACCATACAATTTCTGCGACTGTTGAAGCCAAGCTTCTGTATTTTGCCTCGACTGAACTTCTTGAAATGGTACTTTAGTTCTTGAACTTCCAAGATATCAGTGAATCTCCATAAGTAACTATGTAACCAGTTATTGATTTCCTATTGTTTGGACATGATGCCCAATCTGCATCAAAATAGGCCCTCAATTGATTATCAACAACACTTGTCATGAATATCCCTAAACCTGGTGATTGTTTTATATATCTAACCACTCTCATTGATGCATCCATATGAGATGTCTTCGGACTATGCATAAATTGGCTTAGAAGTTGCACTGAAAATGCAACGTATGGCCTTGTTATTGTCAGATAAAGTAATCTTCCAATCAGTTTCCGATACACTCCAGGATCTTTCAACAATTTGTCATGTTCATTTGCAGGAGAAAAGTGCAGCTCAAATTCTGTAGTTGTAAGCCTTTTATTCAACTTAATAGGGTCTCCAACAGGTTTCGAACTTGACAATCCCATGTCTGAAATTAGTTCAAGACAATACTTCCTCTGATGCATAAGGATTCCAGTACTGTTCCTGGCAAATTCAATCCCTAAGAAGTATCTCAACTCACCTAAATCTTTGATTTTGAAGCTGTCTTTGAGAATTCCATTTGTCTCTAAAATCATCTTGTGATCATTACCTGTGATTAGCAGATCATCAACATAAACTAATAACACCACCAAACTGTCTTTTTGATGCTTTGTGAATAAAGAATAATCATGATGACTTTGTCTGAACCTTGAGTTGATTAATGTTGTAGTTTTTATGTTCCATTGCCTGCTGGCTTGTTTAAGTCCATAAAGTGACTTTGTGAGCCTGCACACTAACCCCTGCTCACTTTGATGGACAAAACCCAAAGGCAACTCCATATAAACTTCTTCATTCAAATCACCTTGAAGAAATGAATTGAAAACATCCATCTGATGAATTTTGCCACTGCTTTGCAGCAGCTAAGGCTATGATAATCCTCACAATTACCATCTTTACAACTGGTGAGAAGGTCTCTTGATAGTCTAAGCCTTATTTTTGGTTATAGCCCTTGGCTACTAGCCTAGCTTTAAATCTATCAATATCTCCATCAGCCTTATATTTGATCTTGTATACCCACTTGCATATTATTGCGTTCTTGTCCTTAGGTAACTTAGTGATCTCCCATGTGTGATTGTCTTCCAAAGCCTTTATCTCATGTCTCATGGCTTCAACCCATCTAAGATCATGAACAACCTCTTGATAGGATGTATGTTCCCTTTCTTGAGAAAACTTACTGATAAAACTCTTGTAAGATGGTGTAATGCTGCAATAATCCACAACATCTTCAATGGGACATAAACACAGTCTAGCTTTGCTGTTTTTTGTTGAAATATAGTTTGCATGCCATTTAGGAGGGTTGCTTGGTTGTGTGATTTTCTAATGTTAACAACATCAGATGGTGGTACCTGTGTCTGAGAAGTATCTCCAGCCAACAGTGTGACTTCATTTTCAGACCTGTATTGGAGGCTTCAGATATAAAACTTTGATGTTGTGGTAGCTTAGTATCATTCATTGCATTCCTTAAAATAACACAAGGCATAAGTTCGCAATTACCAACATTTGAGTATGACAATACAATCTTTGGGTCATCTGCATGACTAAGATCTGATGACTGAAAGGGAAACTCTTGTTCATAAAAATAACATCCTGCTGACAGATAAAGTTTTTGATTCAATGTCTAACATTTTATATCCCTTCTGACTAGTAGCATATCCCAACAATACAACTCTTCTAACTCTAGGCTCAAACTTATCACCTTTATTCATGTTTGTAGCAAATCCAAGACAACCTATCACTCTAAAATGTGATAATAATGGTTGTCGATTATGTATTATCTCAAATGATGTTCTATCTTTCAGTGCAGACAAAGGAATCTTGTTGATAATATATGTAGCAGCTTCTATACAAACCCCCCAGAATCTATTTGGTAAGTGACCTTGAAACTTAATAGCCCTTGTTGTTTTCAGTAGGTGCCTGTGTTTTCTTTCAACAACTCCGTTTTTTTGGGGAGTATGTGGACAAGATCTCTGATGAACAATGCCATGTGACATGAACAAATCACACGTAGCATTTACAAAATCACCTCCATTATCAGATATAAACACCTTAATACACTTGCCAAATTGATTTTTTATCATTATCAAAAAATGTTTCAAAACAACAACTACATCAAACTTAAATCTTATCAAGAAAGTCCATGTCCATCTAGACTTGTCATCAACTAGTGTGAGAAAATATCTCATTCCATCATAAGTAGCTACTTTATATGGACCCCATATATCCATGTGTATCAAGTCAAAAACAGCATTTACATTGGTATTACTGTTAGGAAAATGTATGTTTGTTTGTCTAGCCTATGGACAAATATGACAATGATTAATAGTAAAACTACTATTAGTATTGAACTCTTTGATCTTCCTAAGTACTTCCATTGGAACATGTCATAATCTTCTGTGCCAAAGTTCCTCCTTTTATTGCATACATTGTAACAACCTTGTTTCCTTGTGATTTTTCATTCCAGTGCATTACATACAAACCTTCTTCCACTTTACCAATCCCCTTGACCTTCCCAGATGAGAGGTCCTGAAAAATGCAATGTGTAGGAAAGAAAGAAACACAACAATTTAATTCCTTTGTCAGCTTGTTCACAGACAAAAGACTAAACCTGAAGGTTGGTATACACAAGACATTACTGATCATTTCAGTAGCATTCAATTGTAAATTTCCAATGTGGGATACTGTTGTTGATTCTCATGTGGGTAGTTGTACTTGCCCTGTACTACGTATTGTATGTTTATTATGTAAATAAGTATGATTATTTATCATATGATCTGGTGCCCCAGTATCTATAATCCACTTCAAACAATAATTGGGATTATCTACCAGATTAACACAGCTTTGAGAATCCAAGAACTCCTTATTGCCTTGCAAAATTTCAAGCATTTGCTGAAGTTGTGCAGGTGTTGCCTTGTGTATTAGCTGCCCTAACTGGTTAGGTATGTCACCACAATATTCTTCCTGTCCTTGTATTTTTCTATCCATGTGAACCTTTTCATCATGCAGTCGTGAATGCATAGCACTCCTTCCTGTATGATCCAATGCTTCCTGTAACTGTGCTCCTCCTGTATTGACAGTATTGACTTTCTTTTTACCTTTGAAATTTTCTGGATAGCCAATCAACAAGTAAAAATTATCTTTCACATGCCCAGTTGCATGACAATTATCACATTTCTTCAGCTTATTGCAATTGGCCCTATCGTGACCCTTCATGTTGCAATAATCACTGTAAAGTGTGTGATAATTTTTCTTCAAATTCTGAGACGTCTATAATAGAATTGTGTGGATTGATTATTCCTGGCAGTATACATAGCCAAAGATTCAATTCCTTTATTGATGTTGCCTGCAATTCCTCTTTGACTTTCATCTTGGATTTTTGGAGCACAGGCTTGATTAACATTGGGTAAATTGTGTATCATGAGGATTTGACTCCGAGCTGATGAATAGCTATCGTTTAACCTCATCAGAAACTGTAGCAAACATTGATACTGTAGTTGCTCAACATACTCCTTAGACTTGTTACAATCACAACTTGGTGGAGGTAAAATCGAATTATACTCATCCCACAAATTCTTCAATTTCGTGTAAAAAGCAGAAAGACTCAATGCTCCCTGTGTTAGAGTAAATATATTCCTATGCAATTGATAGAGTCTCGATCTATTTATCTTATCAAAACGTTCCTTAAGATCGAGCCATACCTGATGTGCACTAGGCGAATACAAGATGCCACTAAGCAACTCCTTACTAACATTGCAGGTAAGCCAAGAGATAACAATGGCGTTGCGACGATCCCAATTTTTTTTCAAATTACCTTCGAAATCAGTACGCAAAATAGATCCATCGATAAAACCTAGTTTTTTTTCCGTTCAAGCAATGCAATCTCCATAGCTCTGCTCCATAGTGTATAGTTTTCCATTCCAGTCAGTTGAATTCCCACAGATAAAGCTCCAGGTACATCTGAAAAGCTCAAATATAATGGATGATTGTGATCAATCATCACCAAATTCCCAGTAGATGTCTCGCATTGTGCTCTGCTATTCGATCCTCCCAGTGAATCATCCTCGATCGCCATGGATCAAATCCAACAGAGTCCTTCGTAAAACAGAGAAAAGAAGAAAAAAAAACTAGTTCCTAGATTCTTCCTCCTCCTTGCTCTGATACCACGTGAAGAAGATCAATTGAACAAATGATCTAACAGTGAAGAGAAGGAGAGAAAAAACTGAATTGATTTCTTCTATCAAGATCACACCATACACATTGTAAACTGAAAATTTAACTAACTACAATGAACCTTCCTATATATATATATATATATATATATATATATATATATATATATATATATACATAAAAGAATCAACTAACTACTTGTTTAACTAATTCCTATTGACTTAAACTGTTAACTCAACTAATCACTAATCGACACCTGTACATTTTATTAACTGCTCAACAATGATCTATTTTTGGAGTAGTGAACATCAAGAAGTTAACTAATTTCCACAACACTCCTTGAATGTTCATGTTTTAATAGATAATGTGCTTCATCAAACTTGTACTAGGAAAAATCTTTTGGAAAGAATTATTTTGAAGAAAAAGAATACACATTATAATGATTTATGATTTAGTTTAGTTGGTTTGACATTGAAGAAAAAAGATTTCTAATTTGATTTTGTTTGATATTAAAAGAAAAAATAAAGTTAAATCGAACTCAAACCTATCAGACTAAAAAATTGGGTTGTTAATTTTTGAGTATATTTGTGGTCTTTTAGAACAACGGCGAGTGCATTTTAGATATCAAAATGTAATGAAGTGGTTTATTTCGTATAGTATAGAAGCAATTTAATTTGATTCTTTTCCGTAAAATATATTGTAAATTATATAATTAAGTGGTTTGTTATAAATTATGAAACTGGTTTTTGAAATTTGTATGAGCATGACCCAATATATGTGTAATTTTATTTTTATACAATTATAGAAATCTTTCAACATATTATACGAAATCTCGTGAAAGTCATTCGTCAAAATATAGAAGTTTTTGGAGCACAGATTTACTAGTTAGTAGTATAAAATATATTTTTATTATTATTTTCGCGTACTGACCTTATTTTTGTCTTAAAAAAAAAAATAGGCTGAGAGTTGTTGAACAAACTTAAATTAACGTTTTAAAATTAAATGAACTCAAGTTAATTTTACATACAAAAAATATATATTTAAAAGTAATAGGCCATGACGTTAAAATCTTTGATATGTCACACACAATATATATATGAAACTATAAAAATATAAGAATAAGTTTCATTTTTTTTTTCTAACATACCACATATATATTTATTTTATTAGACTTAAATACAAAAATAAATGTATTCTTTTATTAAAATCATTCACCTTTCAAGGCATTCATATGAAAAACCAATTAAATTAAATGACTTGTATACAAAAATAAATCTCATTATTTTTTAACTCTTTAATTCGAATTTTTCATATAGCCTTAAGACCACACTAAATACAAATCAAACGATGTTTCCTTTTTCAGTCAACATTTCACATGACCTTCAGATCATAAGATTAAAGAGTATATTGATACTCCCTTCATTCATATTTATATATCGTCTTTACCAAAAGAATATGGTCTTTAATGCTTGTTATTTTACAAAACCATTTCATAAATACACTATTTTATCCTTGAGAGTTATTAATCTTGAAAGTATGAATTTGACCAACTAAAGAAACTAATGATTAATTTATGTTCATTGGTAAGTTTAATTAATCAAAATAAATTAATTTATGTTTATTTATTAAAAATTTTAAATTTTTTAGTTCATCCATTTTATAATTAATATTGGTAAAATAATAAATTTACTATATCAATTATTATTTTTTAATAGATATATTAATTCAAAAATGCACAAGTAATTAGGAATTAATTAGGAATAGAAGAATTAGTAAAGCAATATTTTATTATTTGCTATAAGTCCCAAATTTTCAAGGTGCATGATTAATAATTCTATGTGAATGAATAAATAAATTGGGAGACAGTCTTGTGTTTGACGAAAGGTAGATTACTGGTGTGTGGACCCAAGTTTATTCATTAAAAACTATGCCTAATCCATAAAAAAAAATTGTTCTCTTTTTATTTTTTATTTTATTTTATTTGTCTACTATATTAATTTAGAATATCTAATAATATTTGTTAAATTTATAAAATTAATACATTATTCAATCTATTTTATCTTTGCGAAGTACTAAATGTTGTTAATTTTTAATGATTAAATGACTTATACTTCAATAAAAATAATTAGATAAAATTATTCCTATTATTTATTGTCTCTTAATCCTTATATCAAATCAATAATAGACACATTACTGGACAAACAAAATATTATTTTAAAGTTAATTGTTAGACCCCGAAAGAACCAACCCGGAAGTTAATTAAATGACAAGGCCCGATATTGAAGTAAAAATCCAACAATACATAATTATATTATGGTTTAATTTGGGGTACAGGAAGATGGAGCATGAATTTAGGGATCGTTTAGTGGAAAGTTAGAGTAACGTGTATATTAGTTATATCAATATTAATTATGTATGTATGTAAGAGTCTTTTGATTTATTGTTGTTAAAAATTATTTATTTTTAGAAGCATTTTTTTAAAAAAAAGAATAGCTTTTTAGAAGAATGTTTTTGTAAAAATGTAATTTGTGTTTGATTGATTTATTTGAAAACTATTCTTGATAATCAAATTGTGTTTGGCTAACTTTTTTTAAAAGTATATATTGAGAGTCAAATGACAAAAAATGCAAATATTAATGCACTTTTAATATTATAATTATTTAGAATATATATTAGAAATTTTTTAATTAAAAGTTATTGTTATTATATTAAAATATAAATATATTCAAATTTTTCATCAATATTATATATAGATGAATAAATAATTAGATTAAATATTAATATGATATAAACATGATGATTTAAATATGATTAAAAATATCAAGCAAAATAAATTTAAAAATCATTTCATAAATTAAATAGCTACATAAGAAAAACTCACCTAAAAAATAAATAAATAAATATAGGAGATATATTGGTAAATATGTACATATGGTAGCGTAGGGCTAATTTGGTCTTAGAATAAATAAATTTTTGCTTCTGCTTCTCTTAAGAAGTACTCCCTCTCTCCCTATTTACGTGTCCATATTTTTTTTAGGGAAAAGGGTCAAATATGCCCCTGTACTTTTCGAAAAGGTTTAAATATGCCCTCCGTTTAAAGTTTGGTCCATTTATACCCTCGCCGTCCAATTATTGGTACAAATATGCCCTTATGGGCGTTAGTTGGCCACCTCAAAATTTCCAACGCATTTTACTTTTTATTAATTACCCAAATGAATTTTCCACGTAATTTTTATTTTACAGCGTGGCATTTATATTACAAAAGAGAAAGGGTCAAATATGCCCCTAAAAATCCGACCCATTAAACTTACCCATATTTTAAGGTTCAATTATACCCTTTTATTACCCTTTTATTACCCGGATCCGACCCAAAACCCATATCCCTTTTCCCCAAATTTTATTACCCGTATCCGACCCAAAACCCATATCCCTTTCCCCCCCCAAAACAAATCCCTAATTTCCTAAACTTCCTTTTCCCCCAAGAACACAAATCGCGGCGCATTAGGGTTCTTGAAGACTTGCAGAAATTGCGGCGGT